AAGTAATAATAAATAATATACCTAGGTCTATATCATCATCGGGTGATTTTTCTAGTTGAATGTTTATAATAGTTTCGATGTCTTCTTCAGTATTAAAATTGGCGATTTGATGTGACGGAAAACCAACTGATGCAACTTCTAATCTCACTGGGTAACCAAACATGGCTTCATATGGTGATCTTCCGATCTGACAATTTTTTCTCGCAGTGAATACAAAGTTTCAAATACGTCATAATGGCTTCTTTTGTAATATTACATTATTCTTGTTTGAGTTCGGACACCATCCTATGTCGACCACCATGGCCAATAGAAGTATGACATGTATTTAGAACATCAAATAAATCCTTGTTGGTTATATAGTATAAATGAGATAGGATGCACTATATTTTACACTTTTAATAAGATAATCTTTCCCACTAATATATCATACTTACGAACATTTTTATAAACTTTAGGAATTTTCTTCAAACCCGGTGTATTCAAAGCAGTCTTAGAATGTTTTACTTCTTCTAGCTGTCGTTTATATTCCTCGATACAAAAATGATTTATTATCACTTTTTTTAAGCAATAATAAATCAATTGATTTATTGAATTTTTCACGCATATAAGCTAATTCCATTATCAAAAATTATAATTTCACACACTTCATAACGATACTGCAACACGACTCAAAATATATCTTAAGTCGTGATACCGATAGATGACATTGACTAAAGTTATCAGTCAATTGTGGAAATATACACCGATTGTCAATAACTGGTGTGCACCGGCATTACTGATACATTGATAGGTATCACCTAGTCATTACTGTTATTGGCGGAATTACCGACAATGACCGTAACATATATACTTTACCTTTAAAATTCAACGATCCAGAGATTTATCGTCTGCACGCTGACCCACAGTTACTTGATTAATTGATAACTATCATACTGGTACAATATTGAATGTCAAGTTTATAAGGATTGGAAAACCACGTCCAGATAGTACTCGTCCATTGAAGCTAGTTCGTGCTAGCAAAGATAAAGCAAAATCCTTGCTGTACCAGTACAATGGACATAAGAGGTTAGGTACTCAATTTCAAAATGGTTTCAATCTTGTCAAGGATAAGACCCAACTTGAAAGACAACAATTATTGCGCTCTTGTCACGTGCTGCACGGGCATCTACTTTGAAAATGGATCGCCAAAGGTTGGGGCTATCCTGTCAAAACACGAATCTCGTCCTCTTCAACTTCCTGTCCATTAACTGGATTCTATCAAAATTGCCGCGGACTGAGAAAAAAACTTTCAACTTTTATACGTAATGTATCAGCTTTAAATTATTCTTTCATTATCCTTACTGAAACATGGTTGTCAGAAAATTTTCCTAATTGTGAACTTGGATTACTTAATTATAATGTATATAGATATGATCGCTATAACTTAACTAGTTTATGTACCAGAGGTGGTGGTGTCCTTATTGGTATACGAAAAGACATACGATCTAGTTCTATAAGTATTTCAAACATGAGTGTTGAACCAATTTATGTACGTTGCACGATTGGTCCAAATTCTTTTGAGATTAGAGGTGTATATATGTATACCTCCCAATTCTGTTTCTAATATCTATCACATCCATTCCCAGATCATTGAATCTCTGGTTCAAGATTACCATTTTTAAAAGTTCATAATTTGCGGTGATTATAATTCACCTGAAATTTTATGGGCCCCTGATCGCCCGCCCCTATAAGCGGATATTTGGTTTCATCTGTGGGGGGGCTTAACATTTTTGTCTTATTCATTAGCGGAAACAAATATTTTTAGTCACTTCTGACGCTTCCACCTACTAACTGTAGTAGCTACTCCTACTTGCAGATTTTAGCTGAGGCACCAAATATATATATAGGTAATAGGAACAAAAAAATAARTAAAATATTGAATAGCTACTAAATAATTTTTATTTTTATTGTATATATCTATTTTTTGTGCAAATATATTAACAATTGTTTCAGTATTAATAGATTTAGAAATTTCTTTTTCAATATATAATATTGAGGAGTTGAACCTTTCCTGCAGCATAGAAGTTCGAAGCCAAGTTTTTATTCTACGCATGGCCGAAAAACTCCTTTCACAAGTGGAGGAACTTATAGGAATTGTTAAAGCAACTTGAAATAGT